AAAAAAAAAAAAAAAAAACTTGTCTTTTTTAATGTAAAAATACAGTCTGTGTGAATGGCCCCTTATAAATCATTAATCTATATGGTAATTTGGAAAAGAAAAGAAACTCTGGAGAGATGAAAACCTACAAGTGTTGATAGAAACCAACCCATTATGATTTCAGGAAGTGAAACCGGTCATATTTATGCCCAGAGATTTTAGTTGCTTTAGTGTCTGGTTACCGTCTTGCTTAACTAGCCGTGTGCTTCCTGAACATTGTCAGTGCTGCACGCTCCCACCCTATTGACTTAAGAGCTGCGATGTTTTCCCACACTACTGCGGGGTATCCCGCACAGGAATAGTGATGATGTCATGAGCTACCACAAATTCCAACACAGAGGCTCGAAAAACGTTGTTGTCATCCGAAAACACGAAGACAGGAAGGTGCTGTGGCACATAGCAACGTTTGAGCTCCAGGGTTCCTCCGAATTATTACTCGTATGCGACTATGGAATTTCATTTGAACGTTGTCTTCTTGTACTGTGTCTTTATATGCAGGCTGACTTATAAAAAGTTTTATATCAGCGGGTTTATTTTTAAGAATGATCATCTCTGAGTGTTTTTAGTATTGCTCAAAAGCTCCAATAAATTATTATGATTTCACAAACAAACAGCCTCGCCGCAAATTCGTAATGTAGCCACAAGACATTGATGGCTAAATTGATACTTAGTCGATTCAACGGGCAAAATATCCTTTCCTCGTTGTGGAAGCCAAGCCAACGGTCTACCTCAGGAGTCACTGTGGCTGTTAAGGATAGCAGCAGTACTCTTTTAGCTTTGCTCTGCCTCTCCACAACAAACATGTCTTAGAAAAACACAGCCACAAGACCACATTGCGGGCCAAGATCTTCCAGCTCTTGCCTTTGGGGGTTGGCTCAGACTCCGCGTGCAGTTCTAGCGAAGTGTCCTCTGGCACTCGGCGGTTCTCACACTACTGAGGCTCTCTGACCCATATTTGACTGTTTGGGAAGTCTGCAGCTGGAGGATCTTATGGGGTTTTAGAGCCTCATGGTGGAGCTGATTGAGTCAAGTATACCTGAACCAGCTGTGAGGCTTTCCGCACACTGCGCGATCCCTCCAAGTTTATGTTCCTGCAGGCAGAAAGTTAAAGCGGTGTAAAGGATCTGAGAAGCACATGTGCAGACAGAGGTTAAAGGGTTGATCTGAGTCGCGATTAAAATGTTTTCGTTAACCCGAGCCCCATAAGCGGCTGGATCGATAACAGAAAGATATTTTATCTTTTTTAAGAAAAAAGTGGAGTTAAGGACTAGTAACACAGACAGATGGGCGTATTGTCCGAGAGAAAAGTGCCTGCCGTACCTCCCCCTCTGCCTCCCCGACTGATCCTGCGCTCCCTCCACCTCCATTCTCCGTTGCTCTATTCATGGCATTTCATTGTGAGGTGAAGATAAATAGAATGAGAGCGGAAATGCGTTTTATGGGACGAGGGGGTCTTGGGTCATTTGGGTGGTCCTATGCTGAGCTTAGAGGCCTGAACCCGGCACAGATGATGACTAGAGCTTTACTTTGCTGAGTCTTGTGCTTCGTGTACCTGAAGGGTTGTATTACAGTCATGACGAGTGCAAGAGCTCAGAGTGCGTACAGCACGCTTTGTACTCTACGTAGAGTCACATTACAATAGCCATCCTTTCTTAGCATCTACTAATTGTTGGTGCTTGACGATGAAAGGGGACAGTTTGTTTCGCACGAAATCCCTTAAATTAAATGCACTGAGTGGTTATCGCCTTATATAATGGCAAACACTACAACTGTCTCATAAACACTCATTCCGAAGCAATTTTCCATCTCTCAGTTGTAAATATTTAAAGAGTGTTAATGTAGGTAGAGGTAAGCAGATTGCTTTTAAAGGTATGAAGTCTTTTCTTTATACTAAGGTTTTCGTGATATATGTTTGATATATGGATATAACATAGAAAAGTGCACATTCAACTCAAGTCGGGAACAGGTGCAGATCTAAAGCAGTTCTATAATAAAGTGCTAATATATAATAAAGCGATAAATGATGACAGTTCTTGTCATGTTTTGTTGAAGTACTAATGGAAAGCATATGAGCAATATATCTGTTCACCATTGTCTGTTTAGCGGCAGTACTCTAACTTGTGATCAAACTTTTATCTCTAATAAAACATCTGAAAACCCTATTGAAACATATGTACCCTACCATTACAAAGTTTCGGGGGGTTGGTAAGATTTTTTTTTTTTTTTAATGTTTTTGAAAGAAGTCTCTTATGCTCACCAAGGCTACATTTTTTAAAGAAACATTTAGAAATGTTTTATTAAATGTATTATTATTATCATTAATGTTGAAAACAGTTGTGCTGTTTCTCTTTTATTTTATTTATTTTTTATATAATTTTTTTATGGAAACCATTTTTTTCCAGGACTCTTTGATTAATAGAAAGTTCTAAACAACAACATTTTTCTTTTTCTTTTTTTTACATTATACATTTTTACTTTAACTTTGGGTAATTTAATGTGTCCTTGCTGTGTAAATATGTTCTCATTGACCTCAAACTTTTGAATGGTAAAGACCCACAACCTTTTAATTGACTACAGTTTTAGGAGTGCAAGCATTGGGGGGTTGGGTTTCTCTAAACCACCCCATAACTTACATAGTGCATAAAAGTTTAAAAACATACTAATAGCCCTTGTTTATGTGTTCCAGGGACTTAAAGCCTGATGAGACGTACACCTACCACGTGCTGACAGTGTCTAAAAGAGCGGAGAGTGAACCATCTCCTCCTCTCTTTCACCAGCTGGGCTCACCCTACTGTGGAGATGGACTCATCCAAAAGTGAGTAACTCTCTAAACTTTCACTGCATTCACTATAAATCTAACGGAAATGAAAAATGTGCATATCCTTGTGGTTTACTGCAACCACTGTGGGTGACAATGATTATAGCCATGTTATGAAAATAGTAGGGATTTAATGATTCACTCAATTCACAATGCGATGTGATTCACAATACTGATTTCATGATATGATTTTCTCATGATTTTTTTTCAACAAAATTAAAAAAATTATAAATGAAAAGGTGTCCTTTTATACTGCTTGGACAAAATGCTGCACATTTCTTTGTGAAATGAAAATATGTAGAATGACATAACTAAATTAAAATTTTAAAACAAACTCCAAATCAAATACATAAATAAATAATACAAATAAAAGAAATCTCTTCATATAAACAAACTAAGGCTTTGCCTGTGCTCTTTCCATTTAAAATTAGAGGCAACCACTGTATTTTAATCTTGATCCAAGCATGAGCAGTTTTTAATCTAAATTAGATTGTATAACTTCGATTGCAGAATATAAAAGCAGAATGGTCTGCTTTTAGCTTTGTGAAACTATACTAAATAAAACATCTGAACGAATCAACAGCAGCAGACGTGCTGATTGAGATGCAAATTCAGTCTCTGACAGCAGGTGGCGCTTATGGAACAGCAGCAATACAGCGTTTCCTTGGTTGCTGCTGTAAACAAAGCAGCGCTGCTACTTTAATATGCATTATACAGAGAAGGAAAGAAAATACCATCTAAACTTTCCTAAAGACAGTCAGTTCCCCTCAGAGATACATTTATATAAACTGTGTTGCGATTCATTTAACATCTCAACCGATTTGAATCGTCACGTATTTGCGTCGATTTTCAACCAGCTCGAGATGCATCGTTACATCCCTAGAAAATAGGTAACGTATTGTGAATAAAACAATCTGAAATAAACATGATTAACAGAATGGCTCATTGAATTGACTTGTTTTTGTAAGATTGTTTACAGAAGCTGTATCTTTGTCTTCAATGAGCAGATTTCCATTAGCTGATTGGAAAAGTATATACCATGCTTTATTTCTGCTTATTCTGGTGACAGCTGTTTTGAACCATGACTGACTAAAGTTTCATTTTTTATTTATTTAAAACAGCTTTGTGGCAGTAAGGTTACTTGTGTGATTGAACTATTTTAATGACTTATGTCTGTATGCCTTTCAGATATCTTGGAGAGCAATGTGATGACATGAACTTCGCTAATGGAGATGGCTGCTCAAACCAGTGCAAGAAAGAGCTGTTGTTCAACTGTGTTGGTATGTGATCGTCACCTATAGCTAGAAATATTAAAAGAATAGTTCAAACATAAATTAAGTCTTTATTTAGCCTCTTGTCATTCCAACTCATATATGTGACCCTGGAGCACAAAACCAGTCTTAAGTCGCTGGGGTATATTTGTAGCAATAGCCAAAAATACATTGTATGGGTCAAAATTATTGATTTTTCTTTTATGCCAAAAATCATTAGGATATTAAGTACAGATCATGTTCCATGAAGATATTTTGTAAATTTCCTACTGTAAATATATTAAAACTTAATTTTTGATTAGTAATATGCATTGCTAAGAACTTCATTTGGACAACTTTAAAGGTGATTTTCTCAATATTTGGATTTTTTTGCACCCTCAGATTCCAGATTTTCAAATAGTTGTATCTCGGCCAAATATTGTCCTATCCTAACAAACCATACATCAATGGAAAGCTTATTTATTCAGCTTTCAGATGATGTATAAATCCTTATGACTGGTTTTGTGGTCCAGGGTCACATGTGTATTATTTTTTCTAAAGGAAAACAAAGGTCGAATTTGTGACGGCTCATAGTGACCAGTTTGTGCCTGCTTCTCACACAAAGCTATTGTATGACTTCAGACAACTTGAAATACAGTGCAGTAGTATTATGGTTCTTTAAGTTTTTTTTTGTTTTTTTTTTGCTTGGCAGACATGGTCAGGCATTATATGAAAACATAGACACTAAAGAATCATTATGCAGCTCTTTTCCATACAATGACACACATTTGTGTAAGGCGAAAATATACATATAAAATTATACAATAAATATTATAAAAAGAATACAAGCATATGTGTTTGGAATGACATGAGAGTGAATAAATAATGACAGAATTTTCATTTTGGGTTGAAAATGTTTTTAAATGCTTATTTTTTAGCGCTATTTTAACAAGAAAGTACAATAAACTAAAGATATATAAAGTGTAGCATCAGTTTGATTGATGTTTTGCTCCAGCAGCATTTAGCTGTATTGCACATTACTTCTCAGCGCTCCATTGATGTCAGTTCTGCCCGGTTGCCCAGCCATCAATCTCATGGCTTCAGCCTGTCATCAGTGTCACACGGTGTACTACACTGACAATGCCCGAAAGACCAAGAAAGTTCTGTTGTACTATCCCTTTATAGCACAAAACTTGTTAGCTGGTTGTGATGTTAATGGAGTGCTTTAAGTTGTGAGCTAATCAGTTCTGTCAAAACAATTGGCCGCATAATTGGACCCTCTTACGGACATTTAAGTCCCCTCACAAAAGACTTTACTCTTTGCTGTAGAGCTCTAAGATCTGCCTAATGAGCACTAGCAAACCTTTGTGGCACTTCTTCCTGTTAGCAGTAATACAACAATCCCCTTTTCTTCTAAACGTGTGGACGGAAAGCTGGAGTAGAGTAAAAAAGACAGAGAGAAGAAAATGAGGCAGCAAAGAAGAACAGATAAGAAGGGCTTTTTGAAGTTCGCTGTTGAATGTAGCCAACAGCGAACTTCATCTAGCTGAAGTCTTGTCTGACCTCTAGGACACCTCGGAAGTCTGAGGTTGCACTAGTACACGACAGCGCTTAATTGGCAGTTCAGCCTTTTTTTTTTTTTTTTGAACAGTTCACACAAAAATGAAAATTAGTAATTTACATCAAAAATGCTAAAAAGAGAGTAAAAACAATAAATGTCATAGAGAAATCAAATGAATGAATCTTTTTCTAAACGTAGCTTTTTCTAACAGTGCCTTGACAGTGCACACTTTAATTACATGATGTAGCCTATTACAGTGTCCTCAAAAATCAAGATATGTGGAAAAAATACCCTTGTATGAGTTTTTGTATTGTATTTAGTTTGTATGGTATAATAAAGCATTCAAAAGGGGGTTTTCACAGCAGTACCATAGAAGAACCATTTTGGAATAGTTGGAATAGTAACTATTCTTCAGTGAATAGTTCTTAAAAAAAAAAAAAACTTTTCTTTCTTTTTTTTCTTGTGAAGAATATTTTAATAATCTAAAGAAACATTCTTCACTGCAAAGAACCTTTAGTGCAATGGAAGGTTTCCATGGATGTTAAAGGTTCTCCATGGAGCCATTAATGCCAGTAAAGAACCTTTATTTTTAAGAGTGTAGTTAAGCAATATCGCACAAGCAGGTCTGCTGTTTTTATCAGCACAATTGAAAATGATATTGATTTTTTGCAACAGACAAGTTAAAGGGTTAGTTCACCCAAAAATTAAAATTAGGCTGTGTTTTACTCACCCCCGAGGCATCCTGGGAGTATATGACTTTCTTCTTTCAGTCGAATCCAGTCGGAGTTATATTAAAAATTGTCTTTGATCTTTCAAGCTGTTTAATGCCACTCAGCGAGTGTTGCATTGCTTCAGTCCTAAAGAACTTAAATAAAAATCGCCCATCCATAAAAAAAAGTGTACTTAAAGAAGATAGTCATATACACCTAGGATGCCTCGGGGGTGAGTAAAACGCAGCCTAATTTTCATTTTTGGGTGAACTAACCCTTTAATATTTAAACAAAGCCACAGCAGAACAGTTGTGCATTTCTGAGCAACATACAGTGGTGTTTTATATTTGGTTCCTAAAATAATCTGCATTTTTGAACAAATCAGATGAGTCAATGACTCATTCATAATGACACTTGTTCTGTTCCTGAAGGAATCAGTGGTTTGAACCAACCAACTAAATTAATGACTCGACTCTCTCGTTAAGACAGTGACTGCATCTGAAAACGCATACTCTATTAAAATATGAAATTACTTATCGACCGTTACAAAAGTACATTCAGTATGGTATAAATGTGTGCAATATGGATGTAATCCGGACATACTAAATTTGTCATGTTCTCATTGTCGTGTGACCTATCTGTGTCAAATTCATCACTTCACTGCCATTCACAGCTCCTCTCCAGTGGCCTCAAAGTAACCTGTCCATTGGATGTGCTCTTCAGAATCTCACCAGAAATTACTATAACTATTTTAATGCAATTTTTGCAATTTTGGATGCAGCCGCTGATTTGCCACAAGCTATTGGCGGTTTTAGTTTCACATTTAAAGGAATCGATCCATTTTCATGAAATTTTGGAAAACACACTCAAAAAAATCCCAGAAAATATCAAGATCTAATTTCTTTTGCCAATTTAGAACACCCTTAGTCCCTGTTCATTCATTCATTGTAAGTGCACGGAAAAGAGCAACCAGTGCAGGGTTCAAAATTTCACTGAGAAATATAAACTTTTGGCAGAACTTTTTAAATATTCCTTTAAATAATAGTCACAGACATTTGGCACATTCTACTTATGCTACATTAGTGTGTGGAAAGTTGGAGCTTTCTGTCACTTTCAACAACGTCTCAATTTTCGGTCGGTTACTTTGTCCAAAACAGCATAACACTTGACAGAAATAAAATGTCTTATCTCAGCTTAGTGTTTTTTGTGCAACTTACATTTATGTTGAACGAACCCCAAGACAAACCTCTGATCAAGCAGAAGGGCAAAGATCTATGGTTACGTCAACCCTGCGCTTCTTGATATTTTCCAGCGCTCTCTGTTGAATGTGTCACGCGAACCGTACACGGTAACACAGTATTAATAAAACACTTCCTGTGCTTTTTTAGCACAGGAAGTGATGTGACAAGGTGCAGCATGGATCCTGCTGCCCTTTATACATAGTAGCTTCCTCTGAATGATGTACTGCGGCTGCTGTGCGCCTGAGGATGCCTATAACTTTACATAGTCTGTCCTTGTTAATATTGTTTTGTAGCTTGCCAGGGAAAGTGTGTTTGATTTGATAAGTGCACATCTTGCAAACTTGTTTCCTGACTGCTGTTTGCAATGATTGACACCTCGTTTCTGTTGATTACCAGGATGGCTGGACTGAACAGGTGACAGAACGTTGCAATTCAAAGCGTGTTCCCTTAGTGTCAGCTATACGCGTTCAGATTTTGCTGACACCTCAGGGCCTGGGCATAGACAGGAACGGGACACATCAGGGCACAAAACAAAGAACAAACAACACAAATCGACATTTTAAAAGGCTAGACCTCTTATTAAGTCCTTCATCTGATAATGGTAGTGGGATTTTAATTGACGTGATCAATTTGCTAGAAATGCGTCTAGGCTGCTGATACATGAAGTACATTCATAAAAGATAATCAATCTGTCATCATGAATGTTGATTTATTTCCTTGTTTGAAAGCCAGTAAAAAAAAGGCCATGTATTAACACTGAAGTAATGCCAAGTAAAACAATGAGTGCTCTAAACGACATTTACTGTATGACAAACTAAACAGAATGTTCTGTACTCAGCTAAATTAAATATCAGCTTTTTTTCTAATACTAATAAGTAAAATGTCTGACTCCTGTTTTATTTTTATATTATTCCTATTGCTTAAGTGTAATTTATTTTGCTTTCATTCATATTAGCTTTAAGTTTTTTCTCTTTTTTTATGTCAAAATAAACAATAAGTGAGATCATTTAAAACTGCACAGACCTAAGATGTGTTGTTATAATTTGAAACTGTTGAAATGCCAACAAGTTATTACAGATACTTTATTTATTTGCATATCATTTAGACTGTATAAATGTAATTTATTTGGCTGATTGATGAAGTGTAATTTATTTAGCAAATATTCAAATTAGCTTCAAGTTTCTTTTTATTTATGTAAACAATTACAGTAAGTGAGATCATTTCATCATTTACCTACCAACACAATTATTAATTTAACAGATTTTCCCCCAAAGCAAATTATAAATTATATATATATATATATATATTATAATATAATCAAGACAGATTTTAAGGTCGATGGGTAGAGTGTTTTAGGTGGTCTGCCATTGTTTCACTACTGAAATCGTCCGCCACCTGAAACTGTCCGAGAACCGCTGAAATAAAGTTAAGGACATGAATAACTGCTACCAGCTCAAACAGTCTGCTGATCTCAGCATTTGAAATGGGCTTTTGGTGCAGTGGTTCAGTACTGCTCTCATACCAGTTCATCTCTACCTCTCTCCTCTGAAGATGAGCCCAGCTTATGTTACTTCTACGATGGTGATGGTGTGTGTGAGGACTTTGAGCGGGAGGTGAGCGTAAGGGACTGTGGTCTCTATACTCCGAGCGGCTTCCTGGATCAGTGGGCCACTGCGGTGGAGGTGTCCAATGAGGAGAAGATACTCTGTCCAGCGGAGGTGGCTGTTGGATATCCTGCAGTGACAAAGGTGAGCACTTTTACAAGCATACCAGCACATCTGCACATACGTCGTGTAGGATGTGTTGAAGACCCCATGAAAAGTTCATGACATCATGTAAGTGTTATTTTAGTATTATTTTTATACTATTATAATTTTTGTTGGTTTTATTTGAGTTTAATATTTAGTCATTTTCTTAGGTTTTTTATCAGTTTTTAATATTTAAGGTTAATTTATATTTATTTCAGGTTTAGTCATTTTTGTGCTTCAACTTTTTTTCAGTTAGTTACCGAGGCAACATTTCTAATTTTTTAGGTACAAGTGGCTCTTTTTTGAAAAATCTCAGATCTAAAATATGATGTTTATATCGACGATGAAGTCAGACTGAACTGCAGTTTTTCGCAATAAACGGCTGAGGAGCAGATTCTGTTAAGGAGAGATTTGAGACACTGCTCTAACCCTTCACACATGGAAGTAGTAAAGAATTGGCTCTTTCTGAGGGACGTCTAAAAAAACTGTGTTGTTTTACTCCCTGGATATTTCAACATGATACATTTGTAATTTTACAATTTTATTGGCCACTTCACTTCACCTCTCCCCGCTCTCGTGATGTTTGTGGAGCGCGGGTCTCTTGCGCCCGAAATCGTGCAAGCTCCTGAATTAATCATGTCACAAAACTATTCCTATCACGCTGTGCGCAACCTAAGGATTTATGGCACTGAGAAATGGCCATTTTTCACAGTTGAGCTTGAACCTCATTGTTGCTAGAAAATGCGTATTGTGGCTCGTAATGGGAAATGGTGGCACATAGGTTAGGATGACTTTGAATAGTCTTGCCAATACACCTTTGTGTGGAGTTTCTCTTTGCAAGTATTTTATATGAATGTAAATCAAGGCCTCGTTCGAGTTGGAAACGGCTAAAGTGTTTCAGTTGGTGATCAATGTTAGCAGCGTATCGGAATGACTAATTGCTTCTTCTCTTATTGTGTGACACAGCGGCCAACGGAGTTGCAGGACAGGCTGCGTACAGTAGTGTACTTGACTCAATGGAGGGAACGGTGTCACTGAGGTTACTGTGGCGTGCTGAGAGAGAGCGATAAAGCGTGCGAGAGAGAGGAATCTCATGAGACTAAGCCAGGAGTGCAGAAACGAATATCCTCTTATTCTATTTTTTCACTCCATACTCCCTTTCTAAGTCTCTTTTAAGCATTACATCAGAATTCTCTAGTTTTGCGGTTAATTTTGTAATGGTTTCATTCAAATTTTATAAGGCATTTAGAGATGAAAAAGATGTTATGAATCCCCCTGCTCCAGTCAGCTCTCTCCCTGCAGAGCTGTCTTAGAGTAGTGAATGAAGTGAACTGCCGGTCTCTTAGTCTAATTCATGTAATATTACATCACCTCTAGATCTGTGAACTGTAAGATGATTCCACTTCGAGAGACAACTTCATTTCCGTCCAGAAAGATTATGTACATGTCAAATGTAAGAACAACTGCTGAAATGTTTTCAATTAAAAAAAAAAAAAAAATATATTACTGGCCAGGATTGAACTGTTATACATTTTACTGCACTGCAAATGTCATTGTTTATGAGTATGTTGAATTTCTTTCCATAAAAAATATCCAAATGTGCAATTTACATGAAAATCACAAAAATATCTTTATTTTATCCTTTTATTTAATGTTATGACCAATTTCCAAGTAAAAAAAAAAACTAACTATAATACTTACATATATACTATTTTGTCATTTTAGTAACTAAAACCATAAAAACACGTTCATTACTTGAAAAGAATAAACATCACCTGAAATACAGTAAAAAAAAAAACTAGTAGCCAGAGTAACATTTATAATTTTTATTTAGTTTAACTTGAAATAACTAAAAGTAAAAACTGAAATAAAATCTATATTGTCATATTAATAATAATAAAAAACGAATAAAACTTACAAAAACACACAACATAACTAAAACTTCAATTAAAATGAAAACAGAATAATAATAACAACAAATTCAAAACATTAAAAAGCTATATCTCGATCAGTGATATTTTAGTATCATTTACACCCACACACACATGCTAATAAGGTACAAAAAATGATTTCATTGTAATAAACTCATAGTAACTCATTTTAATAAGGCAAATGAGAACTTAATTACAGAAAATATCTTATCTATAGTACTTTTACTTTTGCATTACATTTGTAGAAGTTCAAATTAATTTGAAAAACTTGAACTTTGAAGCACCCTGAAGCTCAACTTGAATGGATGTTAAATGGAGAGATAAATGTTTGAAGGGGAAATGAGGTCAGCGTAAAGGCCAGAGAGTTAGCGGCACACCTGTACTGCTGACCGTGCAGAAAATACCCTCTTCATACCACCCCAAAAATCCTGGGGACGTCTATTGTGCAGGGATAGGAGACTGCTGCCCTGATCTGCTCCCGCTGCTGTTACACATACACAAACATTGAACACATAATTAGTGCCGTTCACTCTGTGAGGAAGCGTGCAGCTCTCCAGTGTCACCTAGCGTTGCAACACTGTCACCCCCCACAGTTGGGTTCAGGGGGTTCAGTGAGGTTCTCTGTCAAATTATTCTACAGTGAAATGAAATGCACTCGATGCAATTCACCGTGAAACAAGGGCGAAGAGTTTAGAAGACTTGGACTTGGAGTTAGCTGTTCAGTTAAAATACCACTAAGAAAGGCATTTAGATCAGCATTTATTTAAAATAGTCTATTAGAAAGAGGCTTTTACTTGAAAACTGGGTGAATTTTCCATCTAAATAGGTACTTGATGGAAATTAGGAAAAATAAAAAGAAATAATAAATAAAAAGTCAATAAATAAAAATCTGCTCAGAAAAGCACTATGTGTTTATTTAAGTATTTTCTTCACTCTGCCCTGAAAAAAAAAAAAAGGTAATTTTGAGCTTTTTTGATGATTAAAATGTCCTTAGCTGCCCTTAAAGTCAGAAAACCAACTTTTATGATTGGTAAACTTCACTCTCACACAGAGAGTCAAATGTCTTCATGGGAGCAATTCTGTAACTCAGCGGTCGCTAGAGTTCAGGCCAGTTTTGGTCTCATTGCGGTTTGCTCTCAAGAGAGTAGTAGGTCAGTTCACCCTGTTCACCCGGATTTCACTGGCTTTAACCTGGCCACATGTAAGGCTAATTCAATCAATTCAAATCAATTCAAATCAATTTGACACATCCTTGCTAAATAAATGTAGAGGTTTCTTTAAATAAAAAAAGGCAAAGATAAGAACCTGTTCATTGCCATTAAAATGAAACAGCTGAACCTACACATAAGAGCCTGAGAAAAATGCTCATTTTAGAAGAAAATTTCAGATGGCACTTAGAGGCTTTTGCATCTGAACTCTTCATATATACACACACACTCGACACAATTTTATTGGCCACATTCAATGAGTTTAACTAAGGAAGAGGAAAACAGTAAATATCTCCTCTGTTTGTTTGCTCAGAGCTGTCAGTCGAAGGTGTTTGACCTGTCACATGGCGTGTCTCAGTACGCTTGGTTTCCCTGTGAGGAGTCTCAGCAGCACAGCTGGATTTCACAATATTGGTTGAAGGTAAGAGATGGCTAACCATGCTAATGTCTTTTTTTGGTTTCAGTTGAACAGATTGATGTCATGTAACATCAGGTGCATAAACATGATCATGTGACTTCACCAAGTAGTACATATTCCTGAAACAACATTCTTACAAACTAATTTAAACTGAAACAGCTTTCTTATCAATCTACAGGTTTCCAATAGTCATGGGAAACCTATGAACTTTAGAGAATTTTCAAATTTGAAATTGGATATTTCTATAGTGAATATGCATTTTTCTGGTTGAATACTCTTTGTAAGCACAATTTCTATAAACTCCAGTAATCACAGATAACTGGTTGAGTCAGGGGGACCACATTGGGCAATAGGTCTAGAACCCTGATTCTCATTTCCCTCAAAATTTTAGAGTAGTTAACGGTTAGGACTAAGATTGGGGTTAAAAATAAGTTTGTTGCTGTGTTTGATCAATACAAGATTTTGATCCAGGAGCACATGTTACTTGGTAAAGTCACAATGATAGAACTGACTGTCAGTGAGTTTTTTTTTTTGTCTCCCAAAAGGCCTATTACGCCCATCCTATGGTGGCTGCCGCGGTCATTATCCACCTGGCTGCAGACGGAACAGCCGACATCGACCAGAGACAACACAACATTACTATTCAGCTGGTGGACACTAAGGAGCAAACCCACCCTCTCGGTCAGTCTCACCCCAATCTCAATAACATTTCAAACACACCTTTTACTGTGTGGAAGGTGATTTTTGTGCTGTATATTTGGCGATGGCTGGATGGTTATAGGGGACTGGAGGCTGAGCTGCCGGAACAATCCACTGGTGATTCCTGTGAGTCATGACCTGAGCGTGGCTTTCTACCGGACAAAAGCCATTATAGTGAGCTTCAGCTCTCCTCTGGTGGCCATCTCAGGTGTTGGGCTGCGCTCCTTTCAATATTTTGACCCCATCACTATCAGCGGATGCCAGAGCAATGAAATCTATAACCCCATGGGCCAAAGGTGAGGAAATAAATCTAGTATTGCTCTCCTCATGTCAGTGTAGAGACTAAACGTTTTGCCAGTCCACTGCGCTTAGATGTGGTCTTAGATCTGTAATCAGGGTGCGAACTACAGGGGTGCTAGGGGGAGCTCGGCTCCCCTTAATAAGACATGGGCTCCCCTGAAAACGTGATTTGTGAAATTTTGGGGGGTCTCAAAAAATATTGACAATGTGTTATTTTTACGTGGAATTTTAGTTTATATTACATTAAACAATAATCGTTGACTCATGCCCTGACCACATACAGAGAAAGTAGCAGTAAAGATTTATGGCTTACGTAGGGTTTGCTAACCAAACTGTGAGACGGTAAGTGAATGGTCACAATAGCTGGCGCTCAGGCCAGTGGACTTTCTGTTATTGGCTTGATGTTGTTTTTATGTCTTTCTCTCTGCCTGGAACTGCTGGAATGGTCCATGTGGCTCAAATAAAAGGGAAGCTGTAGATTTTTCATAAACATTACTCTCACTCTCACTCTCACCCTCCCCTCACCCTCCCTTCTGACTGGAAGAGTTTTTGTTGTTGTTGTTGTTATTGTAATAGGCTAGAAAACAGTTTGACTGAACAGCAACCTCAAAAGTCATCTGTGAGTGATGGAAAGGAAGTTTCCTTCCAGAAATCACTGTCTGGCTAACACGAACATGCCCCTTTTTTCCCCTCAGCATATGGCTGCATCCTTTTGTGATTTAACATCAGTGGTGTTTGTCTTGCTTTTGGAAATTTCCAAACAAACTTGATCCTTTTGTACAGTTCTTTGTAATGATTCATTTAAAAATAATTGTGGCATTTACATATGTATTTTGTTATTAGAAATACTGTAGTAGTACTAATAAATGCAAGGTTGGTCATTTTTTAGCGGCTTATTACAATTTAAAATATCGGTTTTCCATTTTAATGTGTTAATTTATTACTATAATGGCAAGGGTGAATTTTCAGCAACATTACTCCAGTCTTCATTGTCACTTGATCCATCAGAAATCATTCTAATATGCTGATTTGGGGCTCAAGAAACATTTTTATATTTGAGTCAATGTTGAAAACAGTTGTGCTGCTTAATATTTTTGTGGAACTACTTTTTTGGTAGGACATCACAAATTGTGATTCAGTGACTTATGGACAGTCCCAGCCATTGACTCGTGAGTAATTAGGGTGAGTACAGGTAAAGTATTGATTTAAATGTCGAAAAGCGACTCACTTTACTTGTATTCAGCTTTCAGGTTCAGATTCAGGTAGAGTTTGTCAGACCTGATGCAGCTGGACAGGTCACTAGTTAAATGTTTTTGTCCTTTAATGTCATAAAAGTATCAAACAGAACAGTGGCGTCCATTCCCAAGGCTCTGTCTGGTATCTGTGTCTGCATGCGTATGTGGTCACGAAGGTCTGCTTGTGTCTTGAGTGTGTGTGCCATGCACATCTGTTAATTGCACTTGCATTTTCTGGTTCACCACTGCTTGAACGTGTGAAGAAAGTGTCAGAGTGTAGTCGGTCAGGATGCAATTTGTTCGAGTCTATTTGACTTCAAAACAGTGGCGCACCATGCTCAGCTGCCACCGCACTCCCCGAGGACTCAGTTTAAGGCACAGCTACGGATCAGCGGCACTGCAGATCTGCCGGCCCAGTACACCCTCACTAAGCAACAAGCAGTGATTACTGCAACCCATTGACCCCGGTCCCCCACACAAAAGGCCAGTGGTAGAAATGGCAATCCTTTATCCCACTCCACCTGGCCAAGTGTTTGGCGCTGTACTAACTCCACAAGCCCTTGGCCATCCTTCCCCCCACCCATTCACAAAGAACGTTTTGGGCCATTTGCAGCTCTGGTCTTTCAAAAACAACTCTGTTCTGTTTTCCAGCGCTTGTTCTCTTGTGATATTGACAGAAGGAGAACAAGGGGAAGAAAGAAAAGGGAAAATGCAAACGTAAAAACAGAAAAGACGAGAAAGTGCTGTGTGTTCTTTGTAAGCACTTGGGCTCTACTGTATGTTGGGTGGGTTCATAAAGATGGCCACGACTGTTACCCAAACTGTAACTGTAGTAGTGCTACATTTATAGCACAGCAATGTAAAATTGAAATCAAAATACTGAATTCTGAAACAACATTACCCTCCTTTTACCAAAATAACAGTGCATGACGCCCCTGTACAGTAGATTAAATAATATCAAAACGTGCACGTGATTGTAAATGGGCATTTGTTTAGAAATGATATTATGACAGCTCCAGAGTTTACCCTACAAAAATGTTACCATTTAAAGGTTAAAAAGAAATTGGCCTGATGGATTTCCAAGTCTCACTTGCGTGTGAGCAGGAGAGCTGATGACGGCAGTGCGAGGGAGCCCTCGTACCTTTACAGAGCGAAAGTGCTGATCCCAGCACAGTCATTACAGTTTATCAGCCATCTCCAGGGAGCTCATAATGTGTGTTCCTAAAGGCTTTAGTCAGAGACAAATTAGCCATTTCATCATTAACCTGTTACCGTAACATCATTGAGAGGGTGCCAATACGGTCCTATTGGGGAAAAAACAGCATTAGGAGCTGTTACAGACAGAGATAAATGTGTGTTTATAAGGTTGCGGGCCAAGCCAAGCATCGAGGGTTATAATCTCACAACCCATCATGAACGGAGGACAGTTTTGGGAGCAGATAACTACAGCAACAAGCACCACTACAGTGTCATGTCTTTGTGTCCGCAGCTTCCTGGCTGCCGGCCGCTTGTTTTTGCCAAGGTGTTATTGAAAGCAGAGCGTGTTCTGAAATCACTGTTAGGCAAACAACATTTCAACAGAGCAGAGGGAAGTGGAGAGTTCAAGGTTTGCTTTACCCCCTGTTTTTCCTCTTCTTGTTTTTTTTTCTAGCGCTTATGCGTGTTTGTGTGTGTGCGTACGTGTGTCGAGCGTGTTTGCTTACGTGTGTTACTATGTATTTGTGCGTGCGTGCGTGTGTGAGTGCGCGGAGAGAGAAACACAGGATGGTGCTGGGGTGTAGAAGAAAAGCCAACCGAGGCATCTGTGTTGAATTAGGCACAGTAGTCAGTGGTAGTTAAATGCTCAGTGGAGGAGGAATCAGCAGCTGTAAAGTTTTAAAAGAAGGAAACTCCGCACGCAGACACCCCTCTTCCCCCCTCCGCAACTTGCCACCCCCCGATGTGATGGCAGTCCCCTTCCCCTATGTTCACCAGAAGGAACGACCCGTCATGATATAACTTCCAAGCAGGAGCGGCGTGTGTTTATGTTTTCGTTTGAGCCTGTGACACGGATTACGTACCATACAGGTGGGCATTTAAACAGCCCCCTGCATGTGTGTGTTTCTTCTGTTCAACCACAACAGTTTATGTTTTCCTTTTCGTCCCACACAGCCCATGTGACTGTGGTCATTTCTTTTACTGCTCCTGTAATGCAGCCAGTGCCGGCTAATAAACCTCGTGTCTAAGCTGCCATTGAGCTTTGAAATGGCTTTGAGAGAGCCAGAGATGTCTGGGCAGGGAAAGTTAGATGACACTTTTATGTACTTCTGTAGCCTCTCGCGAGTTTTATAAAGAAGCCAGGTATGTGGACTAGCACGCTCTTTGGCATTGTTATGACACAGACGGCGGCCTCTCTGACCCTAGGGGGAGATGTTGAGTAGATTGTGACTACCGTTCTGTTTGGGATTTTATTGAGCCAGTGATATGAGGTCTTTTATTACATTGCTGCCCTAACATGAAGAAGTCAAATGAGACTTTTTCATAGACAGTTAAGTTGCTCTTCATTTTGTTTAGTTTACTTTTAGCTTTTGCTTTACCTAATTTAGTTTTATCCTTTTTGTCTTTTGTTTTGTGCTCAGTTTAGCTTTGCTTTGTTGTTGTTGTTTTTGTTATGTTCTGTTTTGTTTTGTTTTGTATGAGTTCTGCTTCATTTTGTTTTGTTTTGCTTAGTTTTTTACTTTTAGCTTTTGCTTCATTTATTTTTGTTTGCTATTTTTGTCATATTGTTTTATGCTCAGTTAGCTTTTGCTTTGCTTTTTTGTCTGTTTTTTGTCTTTAATTGTGCTTCATTTTATTGTTTTGTTATTTTTGTTTGTTTTTCTTTATTTAGTTTTAGCTTTTGCTTCACTTAGTTTGTTTTTGTTTTGCCTGATTTATTTTGCTTAGTTTGTTTTAACGTAGTTTTGTTTTTGTCTGTTATTTTTGTTTTTACGTTTTTGCTCTGTTTTCATTTTGTTTTGCTTTTCTTTGTTTGTTTTGCTTTGCTTAGTTTATTGTTGTGCTTACTTTGGTTTTATGTATTTTGCTTTTTTTCTCATTGTTTTTTTTATATATATATATATATTCACCTCAAATATTCAAGGCTCACACTTCCATGGTGAGCTGTTTTCAATAAGAGCTTCAGCGCAAGAAAAGGAAGAGGGAAAGAAGGGGGCAAAAAGTGTTTTGTAACTGTGTCTGGATTGCATTTCAAATGCTTCCCGCTGCTTTGCTCAGTTTTAGGTGCTGGTACATTTCCTGAGAGAGTACAGAACATTAGATAAGCTCACCACATTCCAGCCCATTTAAATCTGCAATTTCAAATAAAGTGAAAAGAGACGAGAGAAAGAAAAAAAGATGGCCTGGGTCACAGTAAAGCAGCAACAAAAAAGCTGTTCGTACATCTTGATGTTTTGTTTTGTGGATGCACATTAAAGAACATTTGCCACAATAATCTGTGCCTTGCCAGCAAAAACTTTTGGCTTTACAAAAATTGTTTCAATAAACATAGCTGACGTCTTTTTTTTTCTTCTTTTTTTTTGGAACCAACCAGCTTTCATCACTTGTCATAAACAAAAGGAGAAATCTGTGGAGAAGTGCATGTTTTACTCTGTGCTTCATTAAAACAGTCTGGACTCTAAGCCCACCTATGGCCCGTGTCCAAGCCACTGGGTATGGTTTATGTTAAACATCACTTTTTACTTAATGCTTAATACCACACACAAAAATTACAACAGTTTCATAACCCATACCATGTTAGATCACAATAATTTGTTTGGCTATGAAAAGTCTTAAATTTGTTGTCGTGCAATAAAAGCACAAACTTTCTACATGGTTCACACATTTGAAGATACATGAGGAACTAGTAGAAGAATGCAGTGTTGTGCTGCTGGTGACAAATTCATGACTGTTATTCCTACTTTGTACACAGTACAGTTTGATTCGTTGGTTGTTTGCAGGCACAGTAAGGGATTTGTGTTAATAAAAGCAGTGATTTATGTATTGAGTTAATAAGAGGTCATTAAATGTCCCTGCATATTACTCAAGAGACAAGGACAACTAAATAGTCCAAATAAACTATAGGCCGACTAGTCTTCATTGTTGGACTGGATTTTGACAGAGTGAGGAGAGAGTAAGGACTCTCACTTTTTTACTACTTTTTTAGCATGTTCTCATGCACCTTTTGAAATATGCAGTGCCTTCCTTGGTTAGAGGAAGGACTCATACTTTCTATGACCGGGATCGTTCTCATGCTGGAATAAATTAATTTGTCCTTTTTGTAATAAATCAAGCAAAATTACCTATGGATGTTCAACAGGAGCGGGAAATACTGCCATTACTGTCAACATTACCTTAAAAACACCGGCTAGTTCGTTATAAATGTTAGTGTTCAGCACCAAGGTTATTGTAATTTACCGTAAGTGTATGAACAATCATGAATTCGTGACAATTTGTAACTTTACTCTCATGTGAAAATGAGGATCTGCTTCGTCAGTCTCATTTTCACGGAACTGGGCTTGGCGCACTTGGATTCGTTCAGGGTTTTCCAACAGAAAATCAGTTTCAAATCACTAATGAAACACAAGTCACGTTATGTCATGGCAGTGATTCGACAGAAAGTTTCATTGTTTTGTTCTTATGGGGGGTCGGGCATGTGTATGGTTTGTGGCTCTGCTGTTAGCACAGATGTCTTTGGAGACATCACACAGGTCAGACTTGACTTGTAAAACAGCAGAAATGACCTCTGACTCCCTCTGCCTTCAGTTCTGACAGCTTTATATGCTGTACCCGAGCCCTTTATTATCACCCACTCAGACTGTTAGCTTCCCACTGCTTCCTTTCACCAAGAGATACATAAATACATTTCATTTCATTTAGTTGTATTTTTTGTCTATATAGTGTTATTGAAACAGTGTATTATTTGATATGGTCTGGTCGGACGGATTGTTGCGGTTGCAGTGAATTGACCTAGAGAAAACAAAATGTTCTTTTCCCATGTTTTGAACTATTGCCTTTGTTTTTTCCTTCTCAACAGTCTGAATCCATGGTGACCCTCACCTGCGCGGATGGGAAATGGAACAAGCAGGTGACCTGTGAACCTGTGGACTGCGGGCGGCCTGACAAGTACCACGTGCACCCGGCTATCTTTGAGTTCTCTGAAGGAACCACCTACGGCAAGAAGTGCACTTTTCAGTGCCGGGAGCCGGCTCAGTTAGTGGGTGGGTAGACCCTGACACATCCTAAAACTAAAGGCCCTTGGGATTGAGAGGTCAGCTCTGTTAAATGCCAAATGTGGTATTGACCCCAACTACAAAAAACAATGCACACTGAGAAAACAGTCCTGTGTTTTACATCAAATTGAAGTAGGTTCACTTTAGATCTGAAGTCAGCTTGTCCTGTTTCTTTGTCCTCTCTTGTCTCCGCAGGAAGTAATAACGTGCTGACGTGTATGGAGGATGGCATGTGGTCCTTCCCCGAGGCTCTGTGTGAGCTGCGCTGTCCGGTCCCTCCTCCTGTACCCAACGCTGTCCTGCAGACCAAACGCTGCAATGCCACAGGCCTCAAAGTTGGGTCTTTCTGCAAGTACAAGTGCAAGCCTGGCTACCATGTGCCCCACATAGACAAGCCCAAGAGGTGAGACACCACTAAACGGACCTAAATGCATAATTATGACTTACATTACTTAACTTTAATGAGTTCCGTATTCGAACTGTATCGTCCTCTTGTTTACTGCATTGCAGATTTAGTTAATGATGTTTTGGCAATTGAATACTCAGGGCTGTATCAGTTGTTTGAAAGCTTGGATAATTTCTTGACATTATTTACCCTGTTGGTTAATTACTCACGTAGCCACGCGTAGCCAGACATTTGACTATAGTCGTAAATCTGATCCACTTTAAATGTCAAATTTAGATTATTCTGGCCAAAAACAACCCATTTATACAAGAAGCGACTGTGTTACCAACATGTAAAGAAACCAACTACAGTTAGTTTGGTTTTTATATGTCATTTAACTCAAAGTGAACGGAAATGGGACTTTGATCAGAATTTCTGTGCGTTTAAATGTAATTAATACCAAATATTTCATGTAATTCCGAAAAGTGCAATATACAGTCTTTTTATATTCTACTTGGGATATTTACTTGGCCTGCGACCTATGTATGACAAGAGGTTTGGAAAATTGATAGATGGATGAATATTTATTTGGTGATAATTTGACACACCCTGACTCCCAGAAGTTGTGGAAAGGCAGCCAATCAGATTAGAGCTTGTCATTTTGGACAGTGCTTGCCAGTTTTGAGTGCAGTATTCATCAGATGGTCCATGAACGTACTATGGGTGGTCCATGAACCTTTCATTCTGAGAACAGTCGATTATTAAAAGCTGTTTTAAGGCTGGAATACACTACACAACTTTTCAAATCTGGATTAAAAAACACTAGGTATCATACACTAAACGGCTGAAGATCACGAATACCAGACTTTGAAGTCATTCCAAATACAACAAACTCACAAACACACTGGATGGAATCATAGACTGAAGCTAAAAAATCTGGCCCCATCATACATTATATCATTTTCTGTCAAATCTGTCAAATCCAACTACCCAAAATCTGCAGACTGTGACTCTTTCATACTGGAAATCAGTGCAAAAATCTGGGCAAAACTGGTGCAGTGTACTCCAGCCTTCCAGGTATTCAAATACTACGATTCTGCTCGATCTATCTCTCATTGTCTTAATGAACGTGTTGCAGGGCAGTGCCTGTGATGTACCACAGGCGTGCGTTTAAGCGGCAGTGTACGGAGGATGGAACCTGGCAGTCGGGTGAGTGTGTGGCAGTCACATGTGAGCCGCCTCCTCCCATTTTCCACGGTACCTACAAGTGCACAAATGGCTTTCAGTTCAACAGCGACTGCTGGATCGACTGCAACAGGGCTAACCACACGGTGAGACAGCTCAGCCGCTGCAAGCAGGTCTGTCGTGTTCTTCTCTCTCCTCTCCTTGTTTTCTTTTTTCCACCATCAACATCTCAGTCCATCACCTCCCATTACTGTCTGCAGCGCTTTCCATTCATCATGCGCACCCTATCACTCACTTTTAAGCATCACGATTGCTCTGCGTCAGCAGCTTGACTGGTAGACCGATCTTGCATTTTACATGTGCTTTGTTTCATTTGTCAGTTACACAGCTTCTAATGCATAATATGGACAACTTGACCATAAGGTCATGCCCATTCTTGGCCTCCACCCTTACATTCAACCACATATGTTTTTTTGCCAAGTGGTGATGGTTAGTGAGCTTCCTTTATGATGATTAATAGAAATGTTGGCCTTTTCTCCAGGGTCCTTCCACCAACGTGATCCGCTGCAGAAAGGACGGGAACTGGACCGGTTCTTTCCGTCTTTGCCCCAACCTGACAGGCCAGTGTTCCCTTCCACAAAATCTCAGCCCAACTATCCATCTCAACTGCAAGGACGGACACGGCATAGGTCTCTGCCTATCTGCTTTTCACTTCTTAGGCCCAAAGCACACTGCACACACAAGTATGCACTGCATTCTCAACATTGCCACAAGGGCCGGTGCAACTACAACAACATGTTTTTAATTAGATTTCAAATTCTCTCTTAATCAGAGATTTTTTGAGTCCAAAGCATCTGTCACATTGTATTGAAGAGCTGATTTTTGGTAATATCTCAATTGTGACTAAATATATAGTTAATGTGTCTTGTTTTTGTGGGGCAGTATAGTAGCTATTAACACAACCATCTCACTTGGTTTTATCTGTCAGGTTAATTACAGTCTTGATGAAGCAGTTTGTAGAGAATCTGTGCAAGTTATTTAAACTGTCCTCATGTTTGTAGCTACACTATCATTTAAAAATTTAGGGTTAGTATGTTTTCTTTTTTTTAATAAAAGGGATGCATTAAATTGATCAAAAATGAAAGTAAATACATTTATAATGTTACAAAATATTTCTTTTTCAAATGAATGCTGTTTTTTAATCAAAGAATCCTGAAAAAAGGTAATTGTTTTCACATAAATATTAATCAGCACAAGTGTTTTCAACATTCATAAGAAATGTTTCTTGAGCACCAAATCAGCATATTAGAATGATTTCTGAAGGATCCTGTGACAGTGAAGACTGGAGTAATGTTATTTTAAACTGCGATAATCACAATAATTTCACAATATTATGGTTTTTATTGTATTTTTGATTTTAAAACTTAAAACAGTAGTGTACCTGAATCACGTTCATTTAATGAATTAACTTAATTTCCTTTCCACACTTAAAACTTATGTTAAGCATGTTTTATGCCTTACAGTGTAAACTTCTTTATGTTTGATTAATGTACTTTGAATACATGTATTAATGAATACAATTTTGTATTCAAGTAATTTATTTTAGTTTTAAAATTAAAAATGCTTATTAATTCTTAATGATCATAAAGGTAAATTTAATTTGCCCTGAAGCAGATGCCAATGTACCATTGTCATGAATAACACCTGTCTGTGATGCCCAACAGGAAAGGAGTGTGAGGTGGCGTGTAGAGATGCTAGCAGCAGTGTGGTCCTCCTGCCCAGCAACACGAGCGTTGCAGCTGTGATGAAAGACCACTGGTGGAACCCACCCAAAGTTAAGGTGAGAGCCCAAACATGGGAAGATTTGGGTGGGCTCACTTTACTATCATAAATGGTTTGTCTTCTTAGTTTGATCTCATATTCTAAACTTTTCCATATTTTTGATGAATGTTATACTGGATTTGTTTGGTAAATGTTTGAGACCTGTTCATAGTACAAGCTGAACCTTCAAACATTGAGTACCTATATTTAACACCATGCAGTGCTTTTTAACACATGATTATGACATAACATCTCAGAAATAATCTTCAGTGTAATAGTTCAGCAAAAGGTTGTAACCTAAGCACTAAAAGTAGACAAAATAAACACCCAAAATAAGATGTAAACACACCAGAGAAGTCGGCAGTTGTTACTTAACGATTAATGATCAGATTGATCATTAACAACAAAAATGGGAATGATACATTTTTGCTCTAGGCTGTTATAATGTCCAGTGTTTCATTATGTTTACCTGACTGAAATACACTGGACCACACACACACACAGTCATTCACATTGGTGACATTTGCCCTTTCCCCTGTGCCTTAGAAAGCAGGGTTAACTTACCGTCACATAAAACCCCAAACTCTCCATTTATTTGTCGCAGTCTGCAGCGGGTGTGCCCAGGAGGGCCACCAGATGACTGTGTTCTGTGAGCACATGGCTTGTGTTGTGTTTGTCTGTCGCCATGTGCTCTCTCCTGTCTATTGTCTTGCCCCTCCCCTCTTGTTACCTCGTTATAGTTTAAGTTGATCCACCTGTGTCTCCCTCGTTAGCCTCCTCGTTTGGTTCCCATTTATTCTCCTTGTGTCTGTCATCCTGTGCTGATCCGTCATTTCTCATTGTGTGTGTTACGTGTCTGCATGTGGTGCAGCTTTAGGCCTGTCTGTCTGTTTTTCCCCCTCGGGGTGGTTTGAGTTTATTTTTGTTTCATTTTTATTATTAAAATAAATAACCATTTCTCCTGCAATTGAGTCCTCGCTTCATCCCCGCACGCACCGTGACATTTATTAACCCAAACGTTTCTTAGTCATGGTTATTGGTTCCAAAAATGCATGTGGCGGTATTTTTTTTTTTTTAAACTCTTACCTTTTGCCAGGTGTTGGATATGCAGGTTGAGGTTATCCTTTTCCTTATCCCTAAACTTATCCGGGTATGTCACATAACCTGCTTTCTGGAATACCTCAGAGGAGCATGACTAGAGGAAGTTGAAAGAAACACAAGATGGAGGTTCTGCTCCAAAGCAAATAATTGTCAGACCCACAAACAAGCATTTCATCTGTACGATAACAGCATGACGATGTGGCTGCATTAATGTTTGGACATCGCCAATACTCGAGCACTTCCCCTCAGGAAGCTTTTGTCACAAAATATGTAGTAGACACAAACAAAAAGCTTGAGACAGTAATAACGCATATTTCCTTTTCATATTTCCTGAGAGAGTCACAGACTAGAACGGGAATACTTCAGAAACAATGTGTATGATGAACAGGCAAACTGAATGTTATTCTCCTCACCTCAAACTGTGGTCAGTGATGACCAAAGAATGCTAAACCTTTGCCATGACAACATGGTGACTGTTTAAACCATTGTCATATTCCAGATGGGTTGTAGCATTTGAATGTCTTTTCTCTCACCAGCACTTACTTTCACAGTCCTTTGAGTCTGCAAGATGAGAAACAAGTGATTTGATCTCAACAGTAAGGTCTTTGCTTTGTGTCCTACTGGCAGATGCCAACCACAAAACAGCCTGTGACTCTTTAAAACTCATGGAAAGAGTCTAAATTGTGGCTTATTCTTCTGTATCTTTGTGGAAACTAGTGATTTCATACGACCGTATATCAATAGCTGTGGCTAGGGTCACAGAGGCCAGACGGGTCTCAAGGAATATCCATTTCCGCATTCACTATGTCATTCATTTATATATGGACTACTGAATGACATTTTTGGGTGACGTCATGCCCGCCAGTGGTTATGAGGTTGTCTGGATTATTCATTCCATATTTGCATTTCCTCCTCTGTACTATTGTGGACGTCCTTTGGTGTGGTGGTGCCTTTCATGCTTTTTCGTTGTGGTCTGTGCCATGTGGTTCTTTGCTTGATTGTTTAAGCTGCAGTGGAGCTTTAGGAAGCACAAACAAATTTACCGCCCGCATCCGAGAACGCTGCTATAGTTTCCTCCAGGCCTAATTCTCCATATCATAGGATTTCTCCAGGATAAATCAGCCTCGCAAGGGGATCGACCCAACAAGGTCCTTGGAGTTTCTTCATGGAATTTGTTGGAGCGCCGTTTATTTCTGTCAATTTTATTGATAGCATTCAAATGCCTAGACTTGGAAGAAAACATCCTGCTGTCTGTATGCATCTGGTTTTCCATAAATCAGCCGACGTGTGGTGCGTACAAGCTTGGAAGCCAACAGGAAATGTCGTGTCTTGACCGTATAGGACGGAAAATATGAAAGCCTGCCTTAAAACAGTCTCTGATACAGATAGTATAAAAGTTTATTTAATAGAAGGCAGGTAGCACTCGTGCAGCTCAGGCCTGCGGAGAAACTATAAAAACAAGCACAAGTTCAGGAGCAGACGGTTTAAATTAGGCCTTGAGTAAACAAGCCGCTTGGGTCCTTGGTGTGACACTGAATACTAAACGTGTGTGTATGTGTGTGGATGGCCACAGTTGGCCAGCGGGGCGAAGGCCTGCTTTCTTGGAAATGTTCTGTTTATGCTCAGCCTTTCCATTCCTCATTGCATCTGGAGTTCCCCCAGACCACGTCATTTCACCTCTCCAAACATCCTCTCTACCTGTGCTAACCCAGGAGGCCGAGCCGCCGAGGTCCGCCGCCCCCCTTTTGCTCTCCTCAGCAGGGGTGGGAGCTGGGTAGCACTCCTGGAGTTTAATGAGTCCCCTACTTAGCCAAGCTCTTAAGACTGTAATCCTTCAAGCCGAGCTCTTTCATTGATTCCTAGCTGACTTAAGCATCACCACCGGAATACTGGGCTCATAGAGGATTTGATTTGTTTGTGTTCTGTGTGTTAGGCAAAGAAATCTGTCAACAAACAGAGCAAAGGTTCTCCACATTCAAACTGAAATCCCTGCCAGCCTGAAGGCTTATTAGCGATTCTTGCTAAGGATTTGAACAAACCCCTGACCCTGTGTGCTTAGCGTGTAACTCGTCCTGCACCGTGATACCTCAAATCATGAGTCTTTTTGAGGGAGGCTAAGTTTTTTTTTTTTTTTTTGAGGTAAACAAACTCCAAATTGTGGTTTGCTGGATAATAAAAGGGTTATAATAAATTCCTTAAACTTACTTGTAGAAATCAGAATATTACAGAGACTTTGAGGTCTGACATGTAAGCAACCACAAAGAACACCATAGAAACATGCTAAAAATGCTCAGAACACCTCTACAACTGTATAGCAACTAACCATTTATTGAGTTTTGTTTAGACAAGCTTCACATACATTTTCTTGTCAATTTAACTGAATGAAAATGGTGTAGAATCAATTTCCCTCTGAAATAAGTACATTTCACAATTAATTACAAATAAATGGCAAGCACCACATAGAATTAAACATGACATTTTGAAGTGGAAAGACTGAAGTAGTATTTTCTTGTCAGACATACTCCAATAATCTGTGTTTTATTTTAACTTTGAAAAATCTTTTTTACGGTGTTGTTGAAAAACCCTTACAGTGGCTGCTATTTGTTTTGTTAATTCACTCTAATGGAACTGTATTGTCTGAAACCATTAAACATTGTTAACTTTGAATTTTAACTTTGTTATTCTGTCATTTCCTCTCACACAGAATATTGTGTGCACCATGGGACTAAAGTGGTATCCTAACCCAGAGGCCCTCCACTGTATTAAGGGATGCGAGGTAAGTCCTACCTCACATATTTTTACTCATTTATATATATA